TTTGCTTGAAGTACACAATATTTCCTAATGTAGTTATTGAATATTTTTTTCTAAGTTCTATAGCCATAATGACGTTAATTGTATAACAAAAAGTAAGCTCTATATTGTGTTATTTAATTTACTAAATTTCACATACATATTGAAGTATGATTTGTACTTCAGATTACATATATAACATATAGAATCTTATCATTGAATCTGTAATTTGTCGGATTACAAGGCACTCTTTTATAAAAAATTCCAGGCTATAGGAATAGGGGTCTTAGGCAATAGCTACTCTATAATCCGCCAAATTCGATAGTCCGACACTGTCCTGCAAAATGTTTGTCGGATTACCGGGAGTCCACTGTATATTATTTCTAGTGTAAAAGAAATTGTTTTACTGTCATCTATCGGAAGCGATAAGATTTTTTTAGCCGTTTTCAGTTCCTTACGTTACTCAAAGGTCGAAATAGAGTGAAGGATTCTTTCACGCCGCCAAGTAAAATGGATATTAACGCCATCTGTCGGACACTGAAGGATTGAGACATTAGAACGAAATTCCGACACTCAACTCAAGAAAATTCACTAACAGCTTAACCTGCTTAATAAATATAAATTTAATGAACCTGATTAAGATGTCAGTAAACGTGTTTCCTTTGTTTCAATGGTATGAAAACAAAACTATTTTTGTCAAGTTTCAATTACTCCAGATGTCGTTCTTAGACATATGTGCAATTAACGGTCAATAGATGACGCTGTTTTAACTTTTCGTTAAAACGGATTTAATTCGCCTAGACTTCTGGTGCTATTGTCCCCATTTTTACAAGTAACGCTGCTTTGGCTAGTTTCTTTTATAATTAATATACAGTGAAGAACGAGCGTACAGTTCACGTGATACTCCATGGACCTCTGCAATCAACTTCAAATAAAGGCGGCCCCTAAGAATCAAGGACCTAGATTATATTATATATCTATCTCTTAGAAAAAAAAGGGTATGTGGGGTAATAAAGGTAATAAAAGACGCACAGCTGTTTGAGAAGAGTAGTAACGTGGTAGCAACCCAACATTATTTTAATCAGAAAAGCAATTCTATTATCAAGTAGGTAATAAAAAAGAATAGAAAAAGAAGTTTTAATAAACCTAGAGTCATATCTTTATTAAAGAGCATATGATAAAATTTAATATCTGTTTCGTATAGTAAGTGGATATAGGAAACCGGCGACCCTATTTATTGGAAACGAGGCATTTCATCTTAGTTCTCAGGCCTCAGGCATGACAACATGTAAGCATTTTGATTCTTAATCGAGGATCGATGTAGATGTCCATGTGCCACAGTATCCACTTATCATCAGGTGAACTACGTGCTCGTTGGTCACTATTATTCTTACAAAAACGAGTTGTAAAAAACGTAGATATAAATACTTCATTTATCGACTGATAACTCGCATCCTTCCCACATTAGAAGTTGTATAGATAAATAGAACTGTTGCATAAGATACAATAGAAATAAATAAGGTATCAAAGTAATTAACGTAAATCACTTGATATTTTAACGTGGCCGAGCCACGCTGCAGCTGTATTTAAGGTTGTAGCGCGAGTGAGTCGGCCCAACCGGGGTCAGACCACGATCACAATACACATACAAGCATAAAGTAACAGCTTAATGCTGCTGTGTTTTAGATAGTGAGTGTAGAGAACTGGAGAACCATCAGGGGTGAAAACGCATCTGCATTTTGATTCTTAGTTGATAAATACAGATGTCTATGGGCCACAGCATCCACTTACCATCAGGTGGACTGTATGCTTGTTTGTGACCCTTATTCTATATTAAACGAAAATTGCTGCGTCACGAATAGTTCGGGTCGACCGAAGTAGGAACACACTCTCAAATAGTGTATGAAACCGGAGATTAAATTTACTGGTAACGGGACATACCATCCTCAGGGTTAACAACGCATCCGCATTTTAATTTGCGTTAAAATAAGCAATTCAAGTTTTACTATACATAAGTTAAAAAAAATGAGTAGTTGAAATATTCTTTTTTAAATTTCTTTACTATTTTTATTAATAACAAAGTAAAAAACAGGCAAGAGAATTGTAGGACTGTCAGAGTGATAGAAAACTAGGGATGCTGTTATAAAGTTCATATTTCGTGAAGTAGAGTCATGATGCAGCAGCTTTACATAGCTGCAGCACGTCGAGCACGTTCGACCAGAGTACGCTGGTAGCGTACCATAAAAGTATAAAAAACAGCGTTCTTTCTTATATCTATGCAGCGTACCATTAAGCGCTAAAGCGTACCAGCGTAAAATTATCAGACTTATGTTGCTGGGTTTCGCATTATGAGTGTAGGGAACCAAAGACACATTTTACTGATAACGAGGCAACCCATCTTAGTCCTCAGGGTTCACAACGCGTATGCACTTTGATTATTAATCGAAGACAGATGTAGATGTCTATGGGCAATAACATCCACTTAGATACCATGAACTTAACATATTGGACTATTTTCTCGTTTGTCATTCTTATTCTATATATAAAAAAGCTTTACTAACTGCATTCTTTTAAAATCATGGAAAATTTAATTATGAAATTGCGAGATGTACATCTTTATCATCTATATTTGAACTTTAGGGGTGCTGGCCCTCCTCTAACATGCAAGTTTCTTCACGACGTTTACCTTCACCATCATGTGGCACGATACGTGGTTAATATGCACCTAAAATAACAACCTAACAACCTAATTAACGCCGGCAGGGAATAGAACCCGCGTTGCTCGTCTAGTCCATAATATAGTCTAACGACATTTTGGTTGCACGCGACCTTCGTCGCGAACGTCGAATTGGACCATTTCGTCGCACCACCTCTGAGACGCTACATGGCTTCCCTTACTAGTGGAAACTCAAGCTATGATCATTTTAGATCAATCGTGTCCATACTGACACCAAAACTGAAACTGAATTATACGAACATAATAGTTTTTTTTAATAGAATTGGCTGACCTACGAGCACACAGTCCACCTGATGGTAAGTGGTCGCTGTGGCCCATAGACATCTACATCTATCCTCGATTACGAATCAAAATGCAGATGCGTTGTCATCCGTGAGGACTTAGGTGGAATGCCCCGTTTCCAGTAAAACGGGTCTCCGGTTCTCTACACTCACCATACGAAACATAGCACCATTAAGCTACTATTTTACGCTGGTATTCCGTGAGAGTGTGGTTCCTTCCCCGCTCGAGCCGACCCATTCGTGCACAACTATACTCGTACTACTAATATAACTGCAGCATGGCTCTACCACGTAAAAACAGTAAGTAGTAACAGTAAATATCAGTAGATTACTGTTACAGACAACTAAATTCCACTGCTGACCATAGATCTATAGCCTCTCTCACAGATTGCCTTATAGGGGGGATATTTGTCATAGTTGCCACGCTTGGCAAGCGGGTTGGCAACCGCAATTTTTTTTTATTTTTAGTCGTTATTATGAAGACGCTGCTGCCCATCTCCAGATTTGTTTCCCTCTGTCGCCTCTTACGACACCCACGGGACGATATGCGGTAGTGGATATTATTACATTATCGCTACGCGGTAAATCACATATTACGGTAAGTATTAGGAGATTGCTCGTTTGCAAATCTGAAATTTGGATCTTTGTTTCTCAGTCAATTTAATTACTATTATTATTGGGAAAGGGAATCGGAGATAATAAGTCTCTTCGCAGTGTTAGGTAGAAATGATTGAAAATTATATAGATTTCTATTTATTTGGCAGTTTACAATTCCTTTACATGTGTCTTCAATACAAATAGATCATACTTTATTTATTTTTAAATATAAATAGGTAGAGGGGGACAGGAAACGGAGCTGAGGAGCGGAACCTGAATCTATAATAACAAGTCAATAACATACGAACAATAAGCCAAAAATGTTTAATGTCATTATCGATAAATTTACATTGCGTTTATCGTAACACCAAAAACTGGACACCCACCACACGTGTCGGCGCGACGCGCCTTCCGCTGAACGAGTAAAAATCACCTAAAAAAATTCTCGCTAAAATTAATTATTAGATACATACAAGATACGTTCGGATAGATTGTTCGGTACGATGTGAGCGGCGGCCCAGATGCCGACGGCCGCCGCACACACCGGTCGTACGTCATTACTTTACTGTCGATCTAAATACAGTCTCTCACGTCCACGTGTCGCTCGCGCAACGAAACATCCAAAACAGCATAACCGCGTGATCGAGCCGCATCAGTATGTCGCATGCGAGTTTTACACACCCACTTAAATAGACCCCTCCATTTTACACAAACTTCGAACCGACCCGATACGCGTCACGCGCGATTATTAAACATGTATCACCTACTTTACATACGCCCGTACACTTATCGGGTCGGAGTAGTGATATGTTAAATGCGAAGCGTTCGCAAAATTAAACTTTATTATTATCGTCATTTGATATGTATCTCTACGTCGCTATACAGGCTCGATATAATCTATTATAATTATCTAAACAGTGATATCTGAGGAGTTTCGCATGCGAGTCGCTGTAGCCGATGCGGAGCACGATCACCGATTGCGTTGGAATGACACGACGCGTTTCGTTCTGCAGTTGCATTTTACTTATTAATAACATGGGGTATACAAATTGATTAAACTATAATATTATTGACAGCGTAATGCATTGAAAGCCCTAAGAAACAATTTGCGCTAATATACTACGGGAAACCGTTTACATTTTAAACATAATTGTTGTTTCATAACACATTATAATACATACAGAAACTAGTTGGGTCATAAACAGCAAATATTTTGACAATTTACATTGCAATACATAGAAACTAATCGGGTCATAAGTAGAAAATGTATGACGCTGTACATTGCAATACACAGAAACTAATGGGGTCATAAGTAGCAAATATTTTCACGCTGCACATTGCAATACACATAACTAATCGGACCACAATTTTCATATATTTTGTATACAATCGTCGCAATACAGAAACACATGGGGTCACGCCTAGAAACGCGTCGTGTCACGTCGCGTGGAGAACCGAAACTCGAAACTCGCGCGACGAGACCGGGTGGTCGCGTGTCGTTCGCGACACGGGGGAAGAGTAGTGGGGGCCGGTACGGCGCCCCCGCCCTGCGGGCCCGACCGGGCCGCCTAGACGAACCACTCGTCCTTGTGCGGGGCGGCGCTCAGCGCTGCGCCCGCTCCCGCAGGCGGCCCGGGCGCGCCGCGTTGTACCCGCGCGGGCCCGCAGGGAGCGCCCAGTTTCCCGGCAGCCGCGTAACGCCCGCCGCCGGCGACTCACCGCCCGCCGGCTTACCGACGGATCCGGCGCCGTTGCTGCACGCCATTTGCTGCACTGCAATCACACAACCTTGACAACTTCACCGTCTGAACATTTATAGCAATGGCATCCAGAATGAAAGCGAGCACTCAGCCCACCTGATCGTAAGTGGATGTTATACCTCATAGTCATGTAAGTCTTTCCTCGATTAAGAATCAAATGCAGATGCGTTGTCCCCCTGAGGTCTAATATGGATTGTCTCGTATCAGTAAAATGGGTTTCCGACTCTCTATACTCACCATACGAAATACAGTAGCATTAAGCTGCTATTTTACCCATTATTTCGTAGAGCCGACCCATTCGCGCCAAAACTATAAAATAATAGTTCGAATAAACACTTCAAAAACCATGGTACCTTTTTTTATAAAATATCTTATAGATTGCAGTACACTGCAATCACATCGCGTTGCCAACTTCAGCGTTCCACTCACAACTAAATAAAAAAATAATCCACTTAAAAATACTAAAAAAATAATGAAATGCTTAATGATTTTTTTATAGAATAAGGGTGTCAAACGAGCAGACAGTCCACCTGATACGTGGATATCTGGTAAGTGGTTGCTGTAGTCCATAGACATCTACATTTATCCTTGATTAAAAATCAAAGCTTTGATGAGTTGTAACCCCCGAGGACTAAGATCGAATGCCTCGTTTCCAGTAAAAAAAGGTGTCCGGATCTCTACACTCACCTTACGAAACAGCAGTATTAAGCTGATATTCTGTGAGAGTGTGGTTCTGCCCCGGTCGAGTGTACCCAGTCGTGCTTCAACTATAATGTGGCTGCAGCGTGGCTCTACCACGGAATAAAATCTCTCCGGTGTCTCCGTGGTCTTGTTGGATGGACGTCGTATCAGGTTTTACGTGTACTATAATACTGTCCAGCGCATATTACTATTTATTGTTAGGTTTAGACGTCGGTCTGGAGGACTTTATAAGGTATATTATTAAAAACCAAAGTGTATTCCAAATCCCAACATTCAAACCAATGCAATGGTACCATATGGACGTACTTAAATACTTAATATTCATAGAACTGATTGAACAGTCGGTCTCCAACATTCGTCTGAACACGACATTGAACTAAATTTTACTAGGGTACGTAATATCTCGATGAAACATTTTCAACCGACGAAAGAACGGAGGAGGTACTCAAGTCGACGCGTATATTCTTTTTTACGTATTACCACGCATAACTTTTAACAGAGTAGTCCGATTTTGATAATTCTTTTTTTATTGGATGGGGTATACCTCCAAATTGGTCTCATATAAATTTAGAAAAAATTACCCTAAGGGTGGGAAAATAGGGGTGATTTATTGTTTACTCACAGATTTTAATGCTGAGTTGTGTATTTCAACATTACATAATAATTACGTTACATTTCAAGAAAATCTCACGATGAATGAGCTTTAGACAGTCAGTCTCTTGTGTGTAGACCTCTCAGTCTGCATTTCTGATAAAGCTCTAATACTTCATTTGGCTACTGATACTTCATTTGTTTCTAAATCAGATAAAGCAATACCCTCAAGTGTTTTTACCCTACCCAGTGCCACATGTGCCTGTCGTTTGGCAAACACTCTTTCCGAGGTCGATTACAGCTTTAAACATATAAAAGTTAAGGTAGGATTATATAACAGTTAATAGCTAAAGTAAGTAATAAGGTAAGTAGCTATTTTAAAAGTTATCAAAAATTATGCATGCATATGTAGTAATTAGTAGATTGTGGCCACAAAAAATTATAAAATAAAAACTTTTTAACAAAAAATTAAACCGCCGAAAAAACTGAAAAGCAAAATATAATAAACCTTTTATTTACCTTAATAAGTAAGTTCATAAACTAATGTAAGTATACCTAAGAAATTTTGAATCGGCGCCAAGCAATCAATGAACAAAGATCAACAAATTATCTTAAATTTAAAGAAATAATCGAATCAAATTATCAATTCAACGTGAAATTTTCAGAAAATTCTCCATTCTTCATTTCAAAAAATACGCCATCCGCGCGAACGCTCGCAACGACGTTTGCCCCAGAGAGGAAAGTAATATATCGTTAATAGTTCTTACATTATTTTTCAGTCACAAATTATATTTGTATCGATTGTAATGCCATCTGCGGTGACATAAAGCAACTAATAGTTTTGGATGGAGATAACAGATGTCACATTTCGAAAAAATGACCTGCAGATTTGACAGCATACAGGCAACTGAACGGACAGATCTCTAAATGCATGCGGCGAGACTTGCGCAACTTCAATACTGCTCGTATTGAAGAAGCGATCGAGCGGAACCAGGGCTCCAAAGTCTTTGCCAGAGATCTGTATGCCAGTAAGAGCCAACTTTCAAAGCTGAAGACTGAGTGTGGCAGCATTGTTTCCGGGACACCTGAGATACTGAGTGAGATTGAGAGTTCTATGTGGGCAAATGTGAGTAACGATCCCAGAGTCTTAGTCTAGTTAAGTCTTATCCAACACTATTCCGATGATATCCCGGACGTCAGTCTGAGCGAGATTAGAATGTCTCTCCAGCATCTTAAAAACGGCAAGTCCCCGGGCGAGGATGGAATTACAGCGGAGCTTCTGAAAGTGGGTGGAAAACCGGTACTTGAAGTTCTTCAGAGGCTCTTTAATTCCGTCCTCTATGGTGGCACTACTCCGGAGGCGTAGAGCAGAAGTGGGGTGGTCTTGTTATTCAAGAAAGGTGACAACGCCCTCTTGAAAACTACAGATCGATAGTTCTTCAAGAGGGCTGAGCCGCGTCTACGTGCTGTTTTTGAGAGTCACTACGAATCGTCTCGCACGCAGACTCGATGACTTCCAGCCTCCCGAACAAGCCGGTTTCCGAAAAGGCCATAGACCACATACATACCCTTCAGCAAATTGTACAGAAGTCCGAAGAGTACAATCTGCCACTCTGCCTGGCGTATGTGGACTATGAGAAAGCCTTTCATTCCGTCGAAATTTGGGCGGTGCTACAGTCTCTTCAGCGGTGCCAAGTTGACTGTCGGTATATCGAAGTGCTGAAGTGTTTGTACAGTAGGGCTACGATGGCTATCCGAGTACAGAACCAGAGTACGAAACCTATACAACTGCAGAGAGGTGTAAGACAGGGTGACGTTATATCCCCGAAACTCTTCACCGCTGCATTGGAAGACGTTTTCAAGCTACTGGACTGGAAAGGATACGGTATTAACATCAATGGCGAGTACATCACTCACCTTCGATTTGCTGACGATATAGTCCATATGGCAGAATCGCTGGAGGACTTAAGCACTATGCTCAATGACCTCAATAGTGCCCAACGGATAGGTCTTAAGATGAACATGGACAAAACAAAGATCATATTTAATGTCCATGTCACACCTATGCCGGTAGTTGTTGAGAGCACTAAGCTTGAAGTTGTTGACAAGTACGTTTACCTGGGACAAATAGTCCGACTACGCAAGTCCGACTTGGACCGAGAAGTCAACCGACGGATACAAAGCGGCTGGGCAGCGTTCGGGAAATTACGACGCATCTTTTATGCCAGGTATACCTCAAAACCTGAAAACTAAATTGTACAACCAGTGCGTGTTTCCAGTGATGACCTACGGAACCGAGACGTGGTCCGTCACTGCTGGCCATATGAGGACGCTCAAAGTCGCTCAGCGAGCTATGGAGAGGGCTATGCTCGGAGTTTCTCTGCGTGATAAACTTAGAAATGAGGATATCCGCAGTAGAACCAAAGTGACCGACATAGCCCAACGAAATTAAGCTGAAGTGGCAATGGGCCGGTCATATAGCTCGAAGAACCGACAACCGTTGGGGAAAAAGGGTTCTCGAGTGGCAGCCTCGTACCGGTAGGCGAAGTGTAGGGCGACCCCCCACTAGATGGAGTGAAGACCTGTTAAGACATGCAGGAAGTCGATGGATGCAGGTGGCTCAGGACCGTGCTTTGTGGCATACCTTGGGGGAGGCCTATGTTCAGCAGTGGACTTGTGAAGGACTGTAATGATGATGAATGATTACCTCAAATCTGTAATTATGTGAAACTGTCCTACCCCTGGTTTGCCCTCACGTGTGTGGGTTCGGGTTGCTGTCTCGCTGACATTAACTTCGTGAAAGCTCGGCATTTTCCGGCGAAGGGGCGTGTCGTGGCGTGCGTCACGCTTTACGTAATTACGAGTAATTAATTTGTTTGTTTGGCGCTGACTCAAAATTACTTAGGTATACTTACATTAGTTTAAGAACTTAGTAATTAAGGTTAATTAAAAACTCAAAATAATTACAAAAAAATATACTTAGGTACATTTACATTAGTTTAAGGACTTAGTAATTAAGGTAAAAGAAAAAGGTTTATTTGCTTTTCAGTTTTTTCGGCGGTTTAATGTTTTAAAATTTTCAAAATGCCTTCTTGCGTCGTCAAAGATTGTTCCAATCATTCTCGGAAAACCAAAAAAGTAAAGGTGTAACGTTTCACCGGTAAGTACATGAAAAACAACCCGTTTTATGCTCTTTTGCATTATTTTTCAATAACAGTACGCCATTTTTATTTCCGAGCCATTTTTGGCGTATGTTGGCGTAGTGTTCGCGCATTCTGTTCTGTGACTCGGCCGCCTCCGCCCGCGCGCCCCGCACCGCCGCACTTGGCACACAGATTTTGTTTACGTTGTCCGTTCTAGTACAATATACTTCAATGACTTTACATTTAACTAACCGCCATCTATTGGAGACATTTTCGATAGTTACGACACCCATGAGACGAAGTGATGGGGTAGATTCTCGCCACCATATTGCTAGTTCAGCTGTATCCTATATTGAATTGATAAGGAATATAATTTTGATATGGCTTACTTTACGGGTAGGAACAGGTTCCTGAAACAAAGATAAACTAGCTCAGGGGCCAGGGAGTCAATGAATTTATATAAAAAAAATTACGAAAACGAAAATAAATAAAATATCTCAAATATATTACAGTGTAGATGTGTGCGTCTGGAAGGCGCACGGCGACGGCAGTAGCAGCAGACGGCAAGCGCAGTGGCGACCACCGCCAGCGCCCCACCACCAACAACTCCTGCCATCCACAGTCCACCAGCACCACCGCCGCCGTTCTCTGCACACAATTAACGAAATTGTTAAGGTTTTTCCCAAATAGTCTGGTAATTAGTCATACGCATCTTTCCTAGTAATAACACCAGGCTCTCACAAATTAAAATGCTTGTGCCTCAAATTCTTGCTGTAGCCACAATCACAACGCTGCAGCTCTACCAGGAGTACACGAGTAAACAGGAGTGTAAATACCAATTCGTATAAAATAAAATATATTTCTTTAGTAACTTGGTCGTCCAACACGATGACGATGTATAGTACGACAAATATGACTGTGCTATGCTGCGACCATTGTTAATCAGGATAATATCAATCAATAAAATTACTTTGGATTAATGAACTGTAATATTGCTTCTAAAAAGTAAGTACTATACACTTTAACTGTTTTAGGAACTTGATCTACTATTATTATTATTTTTCTTACTAAGAAGTAATATAACGTCACTATAAGATCACTGATGAAGATCACTAAAGATTATCTGAAATTGAAGTCTTCTGAAATATACTGACTACTTATACTTTTGATTTAATGAAAAGCAATATTGCTTTTAAAAAATACTAGGCGTTTTTACTGTTTTATGAATTTCAATTCTGTATTAGGAAGTCAGTGTATTATCATTACCTATTTTATAATAGTAATAAATAATATAAATTCACTGACTGTTTTTAAGTTTCATATCAATTTGATCTATATTATCTCAGTCACTCTCACATGCGAAAATATTTGGGCACAATGTACAATAAATCTTATGCTTATGCAACTATGACATCCCATATACACTTATATACATTATCCATATATATTATTTTGTTATATAAGTCAAATGTAATCCATAAATCAATAAAGTCAAATAAATAAATATAATAATAATAAAAGTCAAATAAAAAAATAGTCAAATCAATAAAGTCAAAATTTTATTATCCATTACAGCCTACAAAAGTCCATTGTTAAATATAGGCCGCTTCATAGATTGTCTCATAGGATTTTTCCATAGTTGCCAAGCTTGGTAGGTAACCACAGATTTTTATAATTTTGGGTTGTTATCAGGAAGATGCCTGCTGCCCAACTCCTGTTTCAGTTTCCCTCTGCCACCTCTTACGACAGCCAGGGGACTTAAAGACTTAAGGACGGGGATTAAAAACCAGAATTTATTTCATTGTACTATTTAATTAACTTATTTTAATGTTTCTCCCGGCTTTTGATTAAACTATTAAATAGACCACCATATTGCCTATTATCAATACCGAAATGGTTTAACATGAGGCAAAATTTCACAACACAAATCGAAAATTACGTAATGCATTAATTTTCGCGCAATTTGCCTATAACATTCCGCAATTAACCTGATTTTATTTTATTGTTAATATTTCCAGTCATAAAAACAAATTGTTTGCCAGCGCCCGTTTGGTAAGCCGCTGGCCTATTTCCAACAAATATTAACACTGTGAACACCATTCGTTTCAACCTCAACGTCAAGTTTATGTACATTTTCAAACTCAATACAATGCTGTAATCTTTTAGGCAGTTTTCGTGAATGCCTCGTTTTACTTTAAAGCAATTTGTAAGCCCCTTCTTGATCTGTTAAAATTTTAGAAAATATTTTTGTTTCAACTTTTTTCATACGACAGGTGACAAACGAGCACACAGTTCATCTGATGGTAAGTGAATGCTGCGGCGCATAGACATCTACATCTATCCTCGATTACGAAACAATGTGCAGATGAGTTGTCATAATTGAGAACTAAGATGAAATGCCTCGTTTCCAGTAAAAAGTGTCCCCGGTTCTCTAGACTCAACACACGTGTGTGCACTGGTATTTTTTTGAAGAGGAAAGGTTATCTAAGGAAATTCATATTAAGAAGGATTTTTTTTCAGTACTGCTGATTAGTGGCTACTGTAGCACATAGAGACCTGTAACCAATGTTAAACAGAAGGCTACAGATGCGTTGTTATGTCAAAGCCTGTTATGCTAGCTTTCCAAACTCTTCAGACCGGAAATCTGCAGTGCACGCTTTGCTCCTTGGTGCCCAAAATAGGTAATAGGGTTGTACCCACCCAGAAGGGTTCCGAGGCGGAATTGAAATTGTACCACCTAGTAGACTATGAGAAAATCATTTTTTTTCTTTTTTCTTTTCTTCTCTGCTTTATATAATGCTTATTGTATGTTTTTCATTTCGTTTTTTATTATGTGTAAATGTACCCTACTAGTGGAACATTCTTTATTGAATACGGGTGACAAACAAACACAGTCCGCCTGATGGTGACCCGTGACCCATAGACGTCTGCGTTTAACTCTGACTTGACTTTCCTTCTTTGACTGCCTCGTTGGTCTAGTGGTTGTAATAGTGCGACTGCTGATCGTGAGATCCTGGGTTCGAATCCTGGGTCGGGCCAAAAAATCAATTAATGAGTTTTTCCGTCAAGAAATTCTCAGTAGCTGCCCGGAGTCAGGAAGTTGGCGGCGTCTCAACCCCTTGCCTCGGAAAGCACGTAAATTCGTTGGTCCTGCGCCTGATCTCTCTCCGGTCGTGTCGGTTTACCGTCCCATCGGATTATGAGAGTGAGGGAATAGAGAGTGCCTGTGCTTGCGCATACACTTCGGCGCTATAATCCTGTCTCGCACTGATGGCTAGTCTTCGCTGAGGCTGGCCGCCGTGACTGAAATTCGGTCTGGAGGAGATTATTATTATTACATTTATTTTTGACTAAGAATCAAAATGCATATACGTTGTCTGTCACTCCTAAGGACTAAGATGGAATGCCTCGTTTCCAGTAAAAAGGGTCTCCGGTTCTCTGCACTCACCACACGAAACACAGTAGGATTAAGTTGCTGCTTTGCCGAGCGTGGTTCTTCTCAGGTCGAGCTGACCCATTCGTGCACCAACCTTAATATAACTGCAGCATGACTCTACCTTGCAGAAAATCTTCTGTTAATTAGTTATAATAGAAGATTATAACGAATTAATAAGAGAATAGTAAATAAACACTATTCGTATGCTTTTCGAAAAATATTCAAATATTATATATAAACAGATTTCTAATGAAATATTAATCCAACTTCTTTTTTATTCATTCATTCATTTATTCAAACATTTATTACAGACTATAAATAGTTCACTGCTGAATATACATCCCTCTTAGACTGCCTCATATGAGAGTTAATTGTCATGGCTGCCACTGGCGGCAGTGTCGGCTAAAGATTTTTGTTATTTTGAGTTGTTATCAGGAAAATTCTAATGGCCGTCTACTGTATCGGGTTTCCTTTATCGCTTACGACACCTATGGGATGAAATGGAGACGTGGATATGCTTGTGCCGTCAGTAAACGACGAATACATTGTTTGTATATGCAAATTAAGTTTATATGTAACTGGTTTTTCTCAACATTACGCGTAGAGATTGTCAAATTTAAAACTGCATGTACCTTGTATCATCATTACAGCCCTTCGCAAGTCCACTGCTGAACATAGGCCTATGTACCTTGTATGTTTGCTACTTTTCACTACTTTTATTACGTCAATATAGAAAAATTCTCCATAAACTCTCAAAAGTCCAGTTCTATACATAGGCCATCCCATAGATAGCATCATAGGGAGATATTCGCTGCAGTTTATTTTAAGTTGTTTTTAAGAAAGTGCTGTTACCCATCTCCTAGTTTGTTTCTCCCTGTCGGCTCTTACGACTCCCACGGGACGATACAAGGTAGTGGATTTTCTGACACCGCCACTACACGAAAAGCACCGGGGCCTTTCTATTGTTTTACTTGAATGAAAATGCTCAAATCAACTTAAACACAATAGAGAGGCCGCGAAGATTTATTAGATTAAATTTTTATTATAATTAAAACAGTAAATGTGGCCAACTCTACCAAAATTACAAGGGAGTCGCTTCCAGTTGCAAATAAGATGATCTTTAATGATTTCTTATATTTATGCGAACAGTACACATTTATTAAAAAAAAACTTTTTTTGAACAGTGGTAAAACCATATGGTAGCTTTTGCTGTCGCACGGATGGGCCGGCTTGAATCGAGGTGGTACCACGACCCTCAAAGAATACCAGCATGAAGTACTCTGCGTTTCACTTGGTAAGTGCAGGTGGCCGGAAGCGTAATTCTTAACATGGTAGCGGAATCAATTAAAAAACTTCCCAGGAGGGTACCAGCATCTCTGGTAACGGAGGATTTCTCGCTGAGCATCCACGACCAAGTTATATGCTACTCTTCGAGACAGCGAAGCCCGCCTTCCTCTTTCTAACTGAGACTCAGATGTCCTCTCCAGCTGATACTTCATATCTCTCCTACCCGGGGTACAAATAGGAACACTCCGTTGTTCCTCAGTCTGGAGTCTGCGTATACGTCAGAGAGGACATCTGTTTTCAACGCCTCAACAGTCTTTAAGGTACGGATCCATCCTATGGTCGCGCGTAGATAGCGACAACCATCCCCGCGTCTACGGGTGCCTCTATATGCCCTATAGCGGTAATGCCGAAACAGATTGACTCATCGACCACGTCCAAATGGCTAGGATCGTGATCCTTGGAGATTTTAACTCCCACAACACCGAATGGCTTGGTTTCCGTTTCACCGATCATGCGGGGAGATCTGTTTATGACTTTGTTTTGGTATATGGTCCGACACAACTGGTTACTTCGCTTAAGCGGATTTCAGATGTGGAAGATCATATACCTGTTGGAACTTTTGCTGACCTCTCATTCGAATGGACATCAGGTTTCCGTCGACGCCCCTCTAGGCTCGTCGGACCTTTGTCTTGTCTGGAATGTCGCGCCAGTCACATTAATGCCGCGGTTGCATTTTGTAGGCTGCCATCGTGTTTGGTACTATAGGTCGGCCGATTGGGATAGGATGCAGTCTTTTTTTGCATCCTACCCGTGGGGCGGGTTTACTTCGTGCCGGACGATCCTAGCGTGTTGCTGATTCTGTCGCTGATGTGGTACTTCAAGGTATGGAACTTTTTATTCCATCCTATGTGGTACCCATCGGAGGCAGATCCTAACGATGGTTTGGGCGCTTCTGTAAACGCTATAAGCAGGAGTGTTATCGGGTCTAGGGTGACGCATCAAAGTATCGGGATGTAAACACCAGCGCTCTTAAAAAGAAGTATAATTTCGCCTCCAAGTCTTTCAAAAGAGCCATTGCCAAGGCACATCGGCAGAATTGGCGAGAAGATAGTTCGCCTTCCTTCGGGAACTCGTGCATCCTGGTTTCTAACCAATGCTAAGGGAACTTGCACAGAGAGGACGATTCACTGGCCCATGCCGCAAAGGAGAAATCCGATCTGTTAGGCTCTCTTTTTGCGCCCAACTGGACTCTCGATGACAAGGAGAACACACCGCCGACCATCCCGCGGTATGAGTGCTCCATGCCGGAACATTATGAGTCGTGCATTTTGGATTTTCCAATTTTTTTTTATTGACGTTTGAAATAAAATTATCGGAAAATTAGAAGTAATACATAATACGTAATATTTATTAATAAGGTTATTTGTGAAAACTTATATGTATTTAAAATACGTTAAAAATTGACATATAACATGAGCGTATTAAGGCATGCACATTTGGTTTTACCAAAATTTTTTAATTACTTTAAAATGCCCATCTAATGAGACCTCTCTTGACATAGAAAGTCGAAAATAATTATACTTGTAGGGAAATGATACTTTTTTGCCACATTTTGTGAACTTTAAGCCGATGACGCAAAATTTATACATTATATTTTATTTTATTCAATGAAAACTATTTTGAACCACCAGCAAGGTTAGCCAAGTTAACTATCTATAATGGTTAAAGCTAATAGAAAAATTTAAATCATAAATTAAGTCACGAGACTATAATATGTCATTGCTCTTTTTACATTACCGTTATCGATTATATGAAGTCGACTTGGCTAACCCCGCAGGACAGCAAAAGGAATGATTATTTCTAGTATTACCCCTCCCCCTTTCCATACACTACGGTTTTCTCCCGCATCGTGGAAACACTATGCTATGGGGCTGTCATTTACAAGGGTTTCTTGTATGAGAACCCAAAGAAAACTGAAAGATTTAATTAAAATAAATTAATTAAAATCCTGTCCATTACGGCGTCTGCAAAAATTGCTGTAATCAATAACATTGTATACCTATATATTTTGTTCATATAATATGTTTGTTGTATATTTTTTATGGTGTTCAATAAAGAATCTTTACACATGAAACTCAATTGCTGTCCGTTCGTCTCGCTAAAACCACAGAATAAATAATAGTACTACGTACTAAAACTCAAAAACTCGCCAAGTACGTGTCGGGCCACGTACATTGCGTTGAAGAGATAGGGTTCCGTAGCTTGACCGCTATAAAGACTAAAAATGTGCACAAATAAGGCGATGGTTACTGAAGGACTTATTTTCCAATCAGAAAGGCTATATGATTGTATGAATACTTTGAATGAGGCCTACAATAACTACCGTCTAGAAAATAAGCGAAAGTAGCATGTTAAGTATTTAACGTACGTATGAAAGATTTTCCTTGCCTATCCCGTAAAGGGAAAAGTGAAGCTATAGTAGTAATGCATATCAGTCGCTTTCTTCATAAAATGTTTATTTTTTACAATTTACTTTAACATTACAAAGTTATAATGCAGGTAGTTTTAGGTCATGGTCTATGGAATTGTACGGAATTTTTTACTAATCCAGGTGCATTTGTAATTTGGTTAACTATTACTCGTTAACTTATTAACTCTACTTTGCTGTGATAGTTTTCCCTTTAACTTAATTATATATGCTACTATTGTGTATACTTTCACATTTCCGGAAACAGCGGTTTAAACGGTAAATGGTAAAAAAAAACACATAACTCTAATGAAAAATACTACTTTAAAGCTAAATATTTCGCAAACAGGCCCCTGAATTAAAAAAATGTTGTTCCTTACCCACATTGTTTTATCCCCACACTATGGCATAGACAGGTAAAAAAGAATCGCCCTCCCTTTACCTGTATGGGAGGTACCCAAAATAAAAATGCTTTCAACATTTTATTTTACAGTTTTGTAGGCGTAATTAAAATCTATAACTATACCAAATAATTGATTTGTAGCACCAAGGGCTTCTGAGTAAAACTGTTGACGAACGGACGGACGGATATAGCGAAATTATAAGGGTTCCTTGTTGTTTAACTACGGAACCCTAAAACCGGCTCTACCAAATGAAATTATTTGTGTTTGAGTGGGGTCCTGGAAGGTATTATATTAACAATTGGACAGGTGAGTAGGGCTGTTGTCAAGATCCTAAAATCACCCATACCTATCCACCCCTACTAAACAAATATTAAATAAAAATTAAAACTGTAATGTAAATAATAAATAATAGGTATAAAAAGGAATTAAAAATAAAAGAAATAAAAAATAATAAAATAGTTTTATTTGTCAAGATATGTCATAAAATATATACTACATAAAAATAAACGATCTTAGGCAAAAGGTTCATTCCGAAATAATTCATCAAAAGAGTTACACTTTCAGTAGTTATATAGAGCGCTCTCAAATTTCCGTTTTTAAGAAAATTTGAAATATGTTAATTATTTTTAATTTTAATTATTATATTTTAAATTTATGAACTAAAAGACTGTAGAGTGGAGATGATACTATAGATGACGAAATTTTGCATTAGAATGTATGAATTTTCATGTCTAATTTATTGTGACGTTCTGAGAATTGGCCTCACTTTGAACATCTGAAACAGAAAGTGGTATATGATTTAAGGCATGTTTATTCCCGCACACCAACAGAAAGCTCTCATTTCTGAGAAGGTAGGGCTGTAAGTCAAGGAATTAACCGACGCGCTGCGCCAATGACTTCATTTTTTAAATTTTTTCGAACATGCTGATTTCTTCAAAATGTTTTCCGTCACCACGTGAATAGCCTATAGTGAATAGAATAGAATTAACAATTTCATCAGTGCTGACGGGGATCGAACCCGGGTTGCTCTGTTGCTCTGGTTGTACTGTGAAATTTATGACGAGCGTTTTGCCAGTTTACAATTTGCATTTGCAATTAAGGCCACTTCCTGACATGTCGGTGCGGGAGCGGTGCGGATTCGTTTCGCTCGGTATACGCGGTACCGAAAGCTTGCCGAGCGCATATATTTTAAATTTTGATGTGCGTCTTCTAATTGGCGCGGTATGTGCGGGAGCGAGGAAGGATCGTTTTGTTTTACCGCGTCTCGGGATGCGTGTCCAGGCACCGTTCGACATTTATCGTGAACAGGAGCGAGATGTTCACGTCGTTTTAGTACTGGAAATTGAAAAGTATCCCGCATTGTACAATTATAAGAATATTCAATAAACGATGTCACAGAGAGGATTTCGAGTGAGATATCTAATAAAACACATTTATGAGGTATGTAGTCGTTTGTAAATTCAAGTTATACACAATAATTGTTTTGCCATGGAAATGCTCCTTGCGGTATAATAAAATAGTTTGTCATATATTTTCGGACCGTTGCGCCGGATGATCTAGGGTTGATTGTGATTAAATCTTGTTCAAAGTGAAACGAACGGATTTGTCTAGTTCCCTCAATATCAACATCAGAATATGAATTTCCTTCTCTCCGTCGTATGAAATTCTGTAAGACTCCTGCTGGTTTTAATATATTATTTATTGTCGCATAGTTTGAACTAAAATAGGTGTTAAGAATACTTGGAATCATAACATCTTCAGTACTTCAAGATTTTACACCGATAGGTGAGTAGCTGAAGGTAACGCGGTGTCGTTTCGTTACAGACCTTTAAGATCCCGCACCGCTCCCGCACCGACAAGTCAGAAATAAGCTAAAGATCAAAATGCAGATGAGTTGTCTTTTACTTTCAATTTATTTCACATTTATATCACTTTATTACGTATTCATATGGGATTATCATTTGCGTTTTCCTTTACCTTTAGCAGGTCGTTCACTGTTGGACTTGGGTGTCTGCCAGAGATTAAAAGAATTACTAAAACCACATCACCTAGCGATCGGCTGGACCGTCTCGATGCGCACCTTTCACAATGCTTTTTTATAGAAGAAGGGTGACAAACAAGCACACAGTCCACCTGACTGTAAGTGGATGCTGTGACCCACGGACATATACATCTATACACGATTAAGAATTAAAATGCGGATGCGTTGTTACCCGTCTGGACTAAGATATAATGCCACGTTTACAGTAAAAAAGTTCTCCGGTTGTCTACACTCACCATAAGAAATGTGGTTCTTCCCCTAATCGACCCATTCATTGACAACAGTAGCAGCATGACTCTACCACTTCGTAGGAGCCGTCCGCTCAGTGTTCGACGCCGTTGAAAGTAATGCATGCAGAGCTCACGCTCTTTATACCAGAAAACTTTGCGAAGATGCCATTTTTCGTTCAGGGTTGTACATACCAGGACAGAGTACAGCGGTGTCTTCGTCGGAGCCGTCCGCGCAGTGGTCAACTCCGTCGCAGGTGAGGTCCGCGCTCACGCAGAACTCACGCTGTTTACACCGAAATTCTTTGCAGCCGTGCTCTGTGAAAACATAAAACGAAGTATTTTATTATATGACTTTTATGAACGTAATACTGAGGGCCGCGGGTTCAAATTCCGTACAGATCAAGTATTTGTATGGCCTAAAATCATTGTTCCAGGTCTGGATGTTCGTCCTTATGGAATTTTTGTATGTAAACTATCCTAGTGTGTAGGCAACGTTTTTTTTTTTTAAAATATATAAAGACTGTCACAAAATAATTTGTGCTGCGTGATAAATGGTTGCTAATCTTATAATAATTATGATCTTATTATAATGATGAAGTTGACTTTAAAAATGGAGGAGGTTTACAAAGCGACTGAAAATTTTATGTATGATATACGGTATCTTCTGTTTAGTTAAACAAGTATCAAGGGTAGTCAATTTTAAATATAAAGATAACGTTTTGAATATACTAAAGTGTTCAGATGACATTCTATTTGTTACCTTTAGCTTGTTATATTACTTAGTCTACTGAAAAGGGTTAAATAGTAAAATTAAAAAAAAAAAACAAAGTATAATAAAATAATTTAATTACTTTTGAAGTCGGGGTTTAATTTCATCTACACGGACTTCAGACGATGTTAAATTACGAAAATATAGAAATAATTTTATATTTTTGACGTCCTTTTTACCTTTACTTAAATTTTATTAATTAATAATAAATTTTAAGGTAAAATTTCCTATTTTCTTCAGCCTATAAAAAGACAGACTAAACTTGACATATCTACGTCACATCTAATTTTGTTATTCTGAGATTTTTCTCTGCAAGATAGTAACATAAGAAAGTATCACCTACTGACCGTCTAAGGGTAAAGATAGATATTTTAAATTGTAGAGCCATGCTGCGGCTATATTACGGCTTTAGCACGAATGGCTCGGCTCGACCAGGGAAGGAACACGCGCTCACAGAATACCAGCGTAAAACAGAAGCCTTAATGCCACAGTGTTTCGTATGGTGAGTGCAGAGAACCGGAGACCCCTTTAACTGGCAAAGAGGCATTTAATCGAGGGTAAATGTAGATGTCAACGGGTCACAGTATTCACTTACCATCAAGTGGACGCCTGTTAACGTTTTCTTGGAGAACGGTTAAAGTTCCATGACCTTGTTGTATGCGCGCAGACTTATTTGGAAACTTTAATAGCGTGATTTATGCTTGGTTACTTGATTTTTCTGTAATTGTAACTCACAGAATATCAGCGTAAAATAGTAGCTTAATGCTGCTGTGGTTCGTATGGTGAGTGTAGAGAACTGGATAATTTTTTACTGGAAACAAGGCATTCCATCTTAGTCCTCACGGGTGACAACGCATCTGCTTTTTGATTCGTAATTGAGGATAGATGTAGATGTCTATGGGCCGCAGCAACCACTTACTATCAGGTGGACTGTGTGCTAGTTTGTCACCCCATCATATAAAAAAGTTGTGTTACTGTAGTACAGCAGCGTTGAGAGGTCACCACACTGACTAGACTCGTGCTAGAAGCCACTACATGTAAAATGCCTATAGATTGCTTTATATGGTAGAGCCAAGCTGCAGCTATAGGAAAGTGAAAAATCCACACTTTCACAGAATATCGGCGTAAAATTGTAGTTTAACGCTTCTGTGTATCGTATGGTTAGTATAGAAAACTGGAAACACTTTTTATTGATAACAAGGCATTTTCATCCTCAAAGGTAACAACGTATACACATTTTAATTTTAATCACAATAGATATAGATGTCTATGGGTCACAGCATACTGTGTGTGTGAATGTGTGCTCGTTTGTCACCAATATTATATTAAAAAAATTACGAATAACTTCTGAAGAAAGTGGTACAGTTTGTGACGTACATTTTTTATATGATAAATGTGACAAACAAGCACACCGTCCTCATGAAAGTAAGTCGCTGCTATGGCTAATAGACATCTGTATTTATCTTCTATTAAAAATCAAAATGAAGGTGTATTGTCACCCCTGAAGACTAAGATAGAATGCCCCGTTTCCAGTAAAAAGGTTTCCAGTTTTCTACACTCACAATACATAATATAGGAGTATTAAGCTGTTATTTCACAGTGGCGTTCTGTGAGAGCGTGGTCCTGCTCCGGTTGAGTCGACCCATTCGTGCTACAAGCATAATATGTAGCTACAGCGTGGCTCAAACACGTAACTTTAATAAACATATACAAATAAAAGCATTTTTTTATCATAAGGGTTTACCCAATTTCACTGACTATCTAATTTACTAATAGAGACACTATCTATAACGAAGTCATCCATCGACGTCGACCCTTTTTCCACAGCAGACAACAGATATTAAAAACCCCTTTTTCTTATTTATTTTAAGTAAAACAAACATCAACTCCTGTAAATAAACGATACATTGGTTAAAAAAAATTTGTTTTCATGTACCACATTTAATAACAACTAAATTCACTTATCCATTACGGTCTATATAACTCAACTGCTGAATATAACTTTTTTACTTGGTAAAGTTATGCTGCATTTGTATTAGTAGTGTAGTTGAAGAATGAATGGGTCGGCTCGACCGGAGAAGGACCACGCTCTCACTGAATACCATCGTAAAATAGTAGCTTAATGCTGCTGTATTTCGTATGGTGAGTGTAGAGAATTGAAAACCCTTTTTTTGGATACGAAGCATTCCATCTTAGTTCTCACGGGTGACAACGCATCTGCATTTTGATTCGTTATCGACGGTAGATGTAGATGTCTATGGGCCACAGTAACCAAAACCATTAGGTGGACTGTGTGCGCGTTTGTCACGCTATCCTATAATAAAAAATATAAAACTTCCATATCGATTGTCTCATATTGGGGATTTTGCCAAAGCTGCCACGGTTGAAAAGCGGATTGGCAACGATAGTTTTTAAGTTGTTATCAAGAAGATGCTGTTGCCTTTTTCATTTCAGTTTCCTTTTGTCGTCTCTTACGACATCCACTAGACAGTTTGTGCTAGTAGCTGTTCTTACACAACCACTACACAGATTAAGTAAATGTTTATTAAAATACAGGGGGTATTTTACGCATTAATTTCCATAAGGATGGGTCTAGTGAAATTCTTCCTCGGCGTGACCAATCAAATCTACGCAGCAGCATGTTTACGTTAGATCTAACATAAACAGCATAGCTGTTTTTTTTTTCATAGGATAGGATGACAATCGAGCACACAGTCCACCTGATAGTAAGTGCTCCCTGTGGCCCATAGACATCTAAATCTATCCTCGATTACGAATCAAAATGCAGATGCATTATCACCCGTGAGGACTAAGATCAGTGATGCACAGACTTATTAAGACTAGGGGCCACTCGAGCAAATTATGAACTGATGGCGGGCGCCAGGAGTATAGGTAATTAAAGACAATAAAGAATTGATAATAATGTATTAAAATAGAAAAAGAATTTATTAATATGAAGCGTGGCACTGCATAGTGCTTGCAATCTTTTTTATACTTGGCTCAATTTTACTTGTAGCAACACGTAAAACTGCTTCCAAACTTTCATTTGCAAGGCGGTTTCGATTTTTTGTTTTATTATTATTTAGTATTGAAAAGGTTTGTTCACATATATAGGTAGAACCAAATAAGCTGGCACATTTCAGAGCGTTTATGCGCAACTCTTTGTACATATTTTTATCAATGCAGCGGTAAAAGTTCGGCAAGTCTCCTTCGTTGAATTTGTTGCGTAAATCTTGGTCGTTTTGAATGTAGATAATTTCTAACTGCATTGACTCTGGCGCATTTTCAACTGAAATCGTGAAAGGATTGCTGAATGTGTCCAACAAAGATTTAACTTTTTTAAACTCCGAAAATCTGTCTTGAAAAGATTGAATCAAAATATCTAGCTTTCCTACATAACTGAAATGAATGCTGTTTTGTTGAATTTTTCAGCCATTTTCTTATAATTCGGAAAATGATTGTAATTTCCAGAATTCGATTGCGATCTGAAAAGTGTCAGCTTGCATTGAAAGGATGATACACGAGCGTAGAGCTGGGATATCAGTTGATTTTTGCCTTGAAGCCGTGTGTTCAAGACATTCAAATTATTTGTAATATCAACAAAAAAAAAGCCAAATCACACAACCAATCAGGATTTTTAAGTTCCGGGACATCCCTTTGCTTTTCCACCAGAAATATTCCAATTTCTTCTATTAAATTTAAAAATCGTTCCAGTGTCAATCCACGATTTAGCCACCTTACTTCTGTATAATACAGTAAATCTCCATATTCGCTTTCGATGTCATCAAGGAATTGTTTGAATTGCCTGTGATTTAGTCCTCGTGATTTTATGAAATTTACAATCGAAACTACCACTTTCATGAAATTTTGAAATTCAATTTTTTTTAGAACAGAGGGTTTCTTGGTGTATAATGCAGTGAAACTGCATGAGATCTTCAGCGTTTATGTTTTTTTTTTCTTGCAGATACTTTTTCAGCAAAGTAACTAGCCCAGAATTGACACCAATCATCGAAGGAGCACCGTCACTCGCAAATCCCGATAATTTTGATAAGTCCAAATCAGTTTTTGAACACTCATCCAAAAGTACATTGAGTATATCAACTACTCTGGTTTGACCTTTCAATGAACACATTCCTAATAACTCTTCTAAGACTTCAAAATCGTGAGTAACACCTCGTATGAATATCAGAAGTTGAGCTGTGGAATTAATATCAGTGGATTCGTCGAGGGCTAATGAAAAAAATTCAATGATCTTAGTTTTTTCACATTTTCTTAGCGGCAATTTCTATGCATTCTTTTACAAAATCCCCATCATTAAAGGGGCGACTTCGCTTTGCTATCATTCGAGAAATTTCATAACTAACTTCTGTAGCTGTTTCTGAATCTTGAATGGGTTTTGTAAACATAGCTTGCTGACCAATAAGCTCCCGTTTTAAAGACAACATTTTTTGCTTTCTTAATTCGACTATAAACTTGGTAAAAGTAAGATGTTGCGTTTCATAGTGCCTTTTTACGTTATATTCCTTTGCAATCGCAACAGAATTCT